GACAAAGAGTGCGACCCCTCCCCCCTTCCTACCTTCCCTGTTCTTGTGAAAAAGGTTGTACCCTTCTTTGTGGTACTCTGATAAAAAGTTCTTGCTCGCCAGATTCATCCAAGTTTCGGTGATTGCTATGACGTCTACATTCTCGGTACATACAACCGCTCTTAGCAGGTCTATTTTATTTCTAATGCTCCTACTGTTTGTATAGTATACATTTAAACCTACCCTTCCTTGGTCCTGTTTTACCCCTCGTCCTGAGTAACCAATTTTACTCCCCAGGACATGCTTGTGTTTTTACTGCCACTTACCCCGACCTCTCTCTACTGGCAAATCCTCCCCTCTTTGGAGTGACAATTTCACACTCCAGGTATGCAGACAACGTCTTTACCCCTGCACGGGACAAGTGTACTCCGTCACTACTGTACAGGTAGTCGTTGCCATAGAATGCTTGCCAGTTATCAATGAACGCCCAACCATTGCTTGCACAATGTTTTTCCAGTCGGCAATTTATAGCAATTGCCCTGGACAGCCATTCACCACCAACTCCTCTTCTAGGCAAGACACCACATACTATTGGGATCCCTCCCCTATCTCTAACCTTCCCTAGCACCTCCCTATACCTCTTGAAAAGTTCCTCACTCCTAACCTTTCCTATGTCATTTCCTCGCACACTAAGACACACTACTGGCTTGGTACCCTACCCTGACAAAACCCTATCTAACCTCTCAGCTACATGCCCTATCCCAGCCCCAGGAAAACACACCCTAGTCCTACATTTCCTATCTCTTGCACAAAAGTCCTATCTGAGAACATCACCTGGCTGTCCCCAACTAACCACGACCTTACCACTGGGCAGGGTTTGAACAACTGCCCTTTTCTGTCCTGGCACCACACCGTCCTGCCTCTTCTCTTCCTCGCCAACTTCTTCCAACACTTGGTAGGGGTTACTGCACTCCACACCCTGGTCAGCTTTCCTAAGTCTGACCCTAGTCCCCATGGAAACACCCACTCTCCACGCCTGCTCCTCCTTCGCAGGTGTCCTGCTAGGCAGTACACCTACCTAAAGGAGTTCAGTCCTGAGGGCTTCGTTCTCCCCCTTTAAAACGTCTATCTCTCTCCTCAACTGCTCCAGCTGACTTAACAGAGTGGCCATGGGGTCGTCTTTCCTCACACACCGGCCCTCTTTCCCCACAACACAACGATCCACGGCGGACATTTCCTATGGTCACTGACAAGAGCACTTAGGGGCACGTCCTTCTCCAAGCTAGGTCTGGTAGCGTCTGAACTAGGTCAGGTAGCTTCTGAGCTAGGTCAGGTAGCATCTGAGCTAGGTCAGGTAGCGTCTGAACTAGGTCAGGTAGCGTCTGAGCTAGGTCAGGTAGCGTCTGAACTAGGTCAGGTAGCGTCTGAGCTAGGTCAGGTATAAAACACAGTGAAATTGCAGTGTTTTTATAATCGTTTTCTATGAAAATCGCCTGCAGGCTGTTCTTTGGACATTCATTGGTGGAGTTGTTTTAGTGGCGAGAAAGACGGCCTAGGAGACCCACTACCTGCTCACACTTAATAAGGTAAGGTTAGTTTGGTCAGGTTAGGTTAATTTGATTAGGTTAGGTTGGTTGCTTCGATATGAGCTCTGTTGGGGTCATGGGAATGGAGGCCCCCCTCATCAGCTGGGAAGTTTGCCTCCCTTGGTTAGGTACCTGGTAATATATATTCTGAACAATGGCGGTTAGGTTAGGCTAGCACAGAAACTGATTTTTAGATGAAACCTTGGTTTTTCTGTTGGGTTTTGGTGTGATTCATTCGAATTTGAGTATAATCATTCACCAAAACTTGGCTCGGATTTATTTTATTTATTTATTTTTTTTTTAAATGGAAAAGCTGAGCCAACTTTGGTCATTTATAGAGCATATCACTTGTTTTTGCTCTCCACCCACCCAAAAAACCCGGTTTCCCACGGGCCCCCAAGATTGTCAGACTTAAAATAGAGTCATTTGCAATAGAAAATAAAGGTCAGAATCATTCAAAATACATCAAAAGCCATCGGATAAAGCAAGTTTCATGTCCAAAATCATTATGGGCAACTTGTAAAAATTTACCGTGAGTTCTGATATAATAATTTCTTGTGCAAATGCTTCGTTTGGTAGATATTTAAGCACCTAAGGTGCTCACTACTTTGTCTTCTCAGCGGTAATGTGGCAATTTTTTTGTTAAGGTTAGGTTGGGTTAAAAAAAGATGTACAAACTACGACAGTTTCCTCTATACAACAGTATTGTATTTTGTTAAGGTTAGGTTAGGTTGGGTTGGGTAAAAAAAAATGCACAAACTACAACACTGTTCTCTAATGGACACTGAAATTGCAACATTTTTATAATTGTTTACTTTGTTAAATCGCCGGCGGGTCAGTCGTCAATAATTACCGTCTATTTTGAAGTCCAGGATAAATGTTCCGCAGTGACCATTCACAGAAATTACTTAAACAAATTTTTATTTACAATATTTTTCACTGTTTCACATGAAAGTGATCTTCATTTCCAGCAGAAATGAGTACTTTTGGAGGTATAACCCCCACCCCCTTATTATTAGCATTGTGGGGGTAAAAACGTGCAAAAATGACTCAAATATCATTATATATGTGTAACTTAACTTAACCACAGTGTATAAACCTTACCTAACTTAACTTTACCTGATCCAAATGTATCTTAATTTACTACAATACCAAGCATGGGAATCTTGATGATACTGACAGTCTGAATTACACCTTGGACACTTTACTGAACCAAGCAGAACACCATGAGACTTATAGATGTCACCAGCTGCAACTTCTTTCTCAAATACTCATTGAATAATACACCAGTCTTCCAACAAGCAACCTTCACAGACCAATTCAAATTCATGTGACATCGAGACCCGTGCTGATTGGTTGAGTAAGAACTAAGCGCACACTCACTAGTATCACATGACACATCGTCATTTTCACTGATTGGCCGAGTTAGAAACTTATACTTTCTTAGTGAAATAAAAAGTGAAAATACTATAGAGTAAAGCATTCATAGTTTTGTTATTCCATCTCCCTGTACGTACAAGGTATAAGAATCAATTTAAATTTCCGTGAATGATCACTACAGAATATTATAATATTAACCAAGCCCAGTACTGTTCTCATTCCACAGCTTGAGCTGCTAGATTGTTCCATAGGTCTACCACCCTCTGTATGAGGAAGTATTTCCTTATATTTGTCCTGTAGGACGTCTTCGTGAGCTTGAGGTTGTGTCCCCTTGCGTTTGTGGCACGTGACATTACGAAAAGATGGCCCGGGTTCACACTTTCCATTCCTTTTAAGATTTTGAATGTGTTTGAGGTCTCCCCTATTTTGTCTTGTCTGAAGAATTGTTAGTCCTAAGGTCCTCAGTCTACTTGGGTATTTGAGATGATACAGTTCAGGAATCATCTTCGTCACTCTGTGTTGCATTTTTTTGGGATGCTAAAAGTTTTTCTGGAGGTAATGTTCCCATGCTTATACACAATGCTGTTACTGGTATCCTTTGTAATAGATAAACATATTATAACACAGAACTGTCATAAATACCAACCATTAACCAGTTACAGCATGACAGGTGGGTCAAACTGAAACTGTTAGCCAGAAATAGTAAGTTGCAGGCAGTTGTTTGTCTTATTTTACACTACAGATTATTTCTGTGGAAATGTGGTAGTTTATTGTTAAGCCTATAGTGTAGGGGCATATGTTTATTAACTGATATATGACAACACAGCATATACATGTACAGTACTATATGGGAACGCGGACTGACATTAGCCAGCAACTCAAGAAGAATTTTCGGTAATTATTGACGACAGACCCACCGAAGATTTTTCACAGAAAATTATTTTATTAATGCTGTAATTTCACTGTGTTTTATAGCGGACATTGTCATAGTTGTGCAAATGTGCTAAAAAGTATTTGTTTGTTTTTAATTTTAACCTAACCCAGCCTAACTTAACCTTAACATAATATCAACATAATATCTAGCATAGCTTAACACCTGCTATGGGCGAACTTACTGTTACTGAGACGGGGTGGTCATGGCGTTGAGGAAGTAATGAATGATTGTACCATAGTCTTGGTGAATGTGGCAGAACAGATAGCGAGCGAAGTATTGTTCGTAGTGGTAATCCCTGTTGCCAGCCCTCCAAACCCAGGACTTTATATCCTTCCACAGCCATTCTACAGTGTTCGTGTGCACGCTAGTAATAGGGTCAACAAAGTTTTTGCCGTGGTTAATGGTCTCGTGGTTGAACCCAAGGACCCCAAGTTGGAGTAGGCCTTCCAGCAATAACTATAGACAGTGGTGCCTGACTGGATAAATTTCTGACACCGAGGAACTAGGGTGTTGGCGTCTCTTTTTTCCACCGGTACATCAAACATGCTGCCTGATCCACGCTGGATCCCACCAAATACCCAGACACCCTTCACTAAGCGCCCACGTTGGAACTTCTTGCCAAATTTACTTTCATCAATCCCTACCACTTTATTTGGCTCACCAATAGGTTCCTGGTTTTCCTTCCAGTGCACTGCAGAACTGTTTTCAATCCACAACCGACTTAGCACACAAATCCAGTTCTATATCACGATATTGCTGTGAAACGTACTATATTTTATGGCATACAGTATAAGACGCACCCCCAATTTTAGCAGGGAGTATTTAGGAAAAAACTTTTGTGTGGATTTTCCTCTTGTAGCCATAGTTTTCTTAAAATAATATATACAGTACCAGTAAATGTGAGGAATGAATAAAAATAACACCAATAAATAAGGTACAAAAAAATATACTGTATTGCCAAACCCGTAAGTAAAAGCCAAATGAAAGTTTAACACGGTTGCCATTTGCATATACTGTACAGTAGAACGTCAATTTAACGCAAATCAATTTAAAATTATTGATTTAAAGCAACACCCACAATTAAGGACAACGTATTGATTTAAAGTGAGTCTTTCCTCTTTTACGTGAGTCAAATCTGGCGCGTCCTATGGAAATACACACTATTTTAAGTTCTGCGCCTAATGTTTCCCTCCAGACGCCTCTCTGGGCCCGCACAAGGCTGTCCGCCACTCTCCCACACCCTGCCGCATCCTCAGTTCTCACGCTGATGCTCTAGTGAATGGAAATACTGTGTGACACTATCTCCTTTTACGACGTGCATCAACCATCGTCCAACAGGCCAGCTACTACATCATTAACTACCCCAAAGACCAAGAAATTAAGGTAAGCAATTACATTGGAGCAGAAAAACAAGGTGCTGGAAGCACTGCAGTGTGGAACTGGTGCAGTAACAGTACCGTCCAGCTGTCAACTCAACTGCAGGGAATGCTTGTTGCATATATATCATTATGCCATATATTTTTCTCATGTTTATTAGTAATAAAGGTCTTTTTAGTACAGTATTTTGTGTTTCTCTCAAGTACCAAACTAAATTATTCCATTGAAACAACACTTCAATTTAGTGTGAATTCGATTTAAAGCGACCTCTCTTGGAACGTATCTCGCGTTAAATCAAAGTTCTACTGTACTACCTGGTTCACCATAGCAATGCAGACGCCACCTCAGCCGATTCCCTAGGAACGCTCCCCCCTCCCCCCCTCACGTCCCGCCGCCTCCTGCACCCCCACTGAGCCAGCCAGCTAACTCGTGTGCAAAGAAATGTATACTGTATTCCCTTTAAGTGTTTGCCCTTAGGACAATTATTTCTTTTACTTTTTTCACAATGGTACAGTGTGGTCCAATTAAAGTGAACCATGTTGAAAATTAAATAAAAATTCATGAAATGGACAAAATCTGAATTTAAGCAGTTCTCAAGTTTCTGGAAACCTTTGGAAACAATAGTTATTAATGTTTGAAAGTTATGTCATCCAAATGTGCACCCCTCTTCGCAATACACTGCTGCAGTCATTGGCGAAAGTTGTGCATGACTCTACAAAGCACATCTGGAGAAATGGCATCAATCTCCTGGCAAACTCTGGCATTCAGGTTATCAATATTGTGGAATCGATGAGAGTACACCGTCTCTTTCAGATACCCCCATAAGAAGAAATCTGGTGACTGCAGAGGCCACGGAATGTCACCAAACCAAGAAATGATGCGTCCTGGGAAGAACCTGTTCCATGGCAAACACATGCTGCTGTACCAGCCAACGATCCCATGTGCACTGAATCCAAGGCCCCAGCAACCATCTGCCTCCCCGCTTCCTCCTCGCACTCAAACCCCTACCCAGTGTTGCCAACCTAAAACTGGTTCACTTTAATTGGACCACCTTGTATGTAGGATGGTGTGTGCATGTTACAGAGTAAAAATAAATGAAGAAAGTTACGTATATCTACCCAAAAATACGAGATGAAAAACATGCTAACACCAGTAGCTTGGTGGTTACAGTGACCAGTCTCACCTGGCTACAATCCTGCCAGCGATGTTAACAGATGCAAATGTGAAAAGAAAGCTATATGTATATCTTCATTTGTATTAGGTGTTTGTAGATTTTAAAATAATGTTGCAGGTATGGCATTTATAGATTGTAATGCTTGTAAGAGTCCAGAAATGGTTACTGCCGAGCTACCTCCGAAGAGTTGGGTGTCTGCCGTACAGACGTTAATAGTTTCAAGTTATCATCATCATGACAGTACAGTATAGTAGTTATAAATCCAGCTTTTAATTAATTGAAAATTATATCATATGTTTAAGTAAGCAATAACTTATTTTTAATTCTTGAGTTGGGTTAGGTAGAGTTTAGCAACTGGGGAGACCTCAACGTCACAAAAAAGTGCATCTTATATGCCGTAAAATACGGTACTTTCTAATGAAAACATGTACTGTATAAATAAGAGTACAACACTAGGTTTAACATTGGCATTTTCAAGCCAAGTTTCTTTGTAAACACTAGAACTGTGGCTACAACACTCCAGTCACTCGTTTTTCTTTTTAATTAGTTTCTTGTTGCACTGGAGCAAATTTCTCTCTGGTCATAAATCACAGGGATTCCTGCAGTCTGGACAGTCTCTTTTGGAAGGAAGGATACAGTGGTCTTTGAAAGGTGAGGGCAGGATCATCTTTCCCCCTGAAATCTCAAATTACACCCATATAAGACACCCTTCACATGCCACGATGAAAATGAAATTGGCGGTCATGGCGCGCGGGAAAGTGGCAAGGAGCACGGCAGTGTTTTGAAATCCGTCAATATGATTGGCTGTTTGCATATGGAAATGAAACGTCACTGCCACATTACCGCCGAAAAGACAAAGCTGTGCGTGCCATGGGCAGCTAATTATCTACGAAACAAAGCATTTGCACAAGAAATAATTATCATATCAGTACTCACTGATGAAAATATAGTAAGAAAATAATCACCAAATCAAATAACGCGTCAATATTAACTGAATTTTTTATAGACGATAACTAATTTCAGTAATATTTAAGGATAAAGATAGAAGATAGCTTATTTCTTATCTCAAGACTAAAGCAAATTGGGTGGAAGAATAACACTTTTCATACTACGTATTCTGTTTTGCTTCTTTAATTTTTCCTATAATTAAAGTTGCTGCTGCCTTCTGCTCATGTTTCTTGATACAAGGTGTGGTTAGTGAAGTATTGTTGGGTCTTTTTACTCTCATGCTCATGAAGTATGATTTGGGACAATTTCTTGAAAAAAAATATATATATATACAGGGTATATATATATATAGTACTGTATATATATACAGTTAACCCTCACTTTACGCGGTTAATGTAACCCGGAGGGTACTGCGGAAAGTGAGGAACGCGTAAAGTGAATAACATAACATATGGGATTAATTGAAATAGAGTCCAGGCCGACCCCCAAACTCCAATTTTTTACGACACACAACTATGTTGTAGTAAAAATATTATCTTAACTTTATGATGGCATGCACACACAATTAATAATTAAGAGAAATATCAATAATATTACGTTTTTTATCACTTACATTAGTAGAAAAGATGGCTGGGCACACGGGGATGGGCGGTTGGTTCCGAGGCAGAGGGCAGATTATTGGCCCTCACCTGTATCACTTGTATCAATTGTATCACTATCCACCACAGAGGCTTGCAGGGCCTCTTTGTCAAACCCCCCAAAGTTCATATAAGTCCATATCCTCACTATAATTATCACTATCACTGACTTGGGCCGGCTGTAGTGGGTGGCGGGTGAAGAACTGGTAATGTTTTGATGACTGGGCGACCTTGTGCGCACCATTTTCGCGCCTCTTACACAACATGGCGGATGGCGGGAGGTTTGGATCCAAAAATGGCGCGGCTTGCCAGCCGCTCTCCGCGTAATGGGGTACACGCACCGCGGAATGTGAGCATGTTAGGTTCCGGCAGGGCACCGCGTTAACGGTGAAACGCGGAATGCGGGACCGCGTAATGTGAGGGTTGACTCTACTGTATACCGTATATATATATATATATATTGTATATGCAAATACATGTAAACAGTCTTGCTATAAATCTTTAGAAAGTTTCAAAACTGAGGCCAAGCCTATGCCAGTTTCAGCCCCATGTCTGGTACCTACCTCTATTGTTTCATGATTTAATTTTGTACTTTCTCTGCAGTGTAGTGTTGTCGGCTGGCAAGCAGACTATTGCTGAACAGCTTGGACTTCCAGAACCCCCCAAACGACCCTTAGCACCACACTTACGATTCATGAAACACTTCCTCGAGGAAAATAAAAGAAAGTTACCCAAATGGTCAACACAAGGTACTGTAAATTCATTCACTTTTTGTAAGACGCGATGAATACTGTATTGTAATTAGTGTAGTTCTTGAGATGTGTGGTGCTGGGATGTATGAGGCAAGATGATTACAGGGATCCCCAACTTATGTACACCCACTGATACAAATGGGGTTAAACTTGACATTTATATTATTTTATTTACCTGATGACTTATATTTTAATTTAATTTACAGTCTTTTGTCATTCTATTTTTTCTTTTGTCTTAAATTAAGTGATTTTCGATGTATATAAGGACTTAGGCTATGATATAGTAGGATTTTAATCATTGTTTTGTAAGTATGGTATGCATACAGCATGTGTTCCGACTCATGTACAAATTCAAGTTACGAACGCCCTCTGGAACGGAACCCATTCTTAACCCGGGGACCCTCTGTACATTATTAGTGCACAGGTGTTACGGTAGCTAAGAGTGACTGACTGTGAGTGTAGGGAGTGTGTGTGTGTTGTGTATGATGCTCTGTAACAGGTAATGACTAGCTATAGTGAAAAAAATTCCTGGTAAATTTTTGTTCTCTCTTTATAATATTACAGGAACCATAAGCTGATTGTTTCAGAGATGTGTGAATAGCTCTGTTGATAATAATTTTTTCAAAGTTAAGTTGTGTAGCTATTTATTAATAGCAGTTTGATACTTTATATTTATACAGATAATGGTGTATGGATCTTCCTACATTTTATCTACCTTCACTTTTTTGTGATATGGTTAATAATTTCCAAGCTTCTGTCATTAAGTTATCATTTTTAAAGATACTGTATATGTTCTTGTATTTCAGAGATATTTGTCAAAACAGTACAAGATTGGAAAACTATCAGTCCAATCGAAAAAGGCAAATGGACGTCAGAATACGAAAGAGAGAAAACGTTATACGATATCAGGTAGGCTTAAGAGGAAGTTGTTATGTCTGTGCTTCTCATGATGGCCCTGTACTGTACTGTGTGGAAGTTGTTAATAATTATTGATTTGTTTATTCAGTCATCCTTCAGTAAATCTGCATTTTTTTCTTTAAAAAAAAAACCATAATGCTGAGTGAGCTTAGTTTGAGGCAGCTGTTCTTAGAGGGATAACGTACAGTATTTTTCATTTGATATGATCACTTCAGGCTTTCTCTAAAACACTTCTTAACCCGTTATATAACCTGCATGGGTGAGTTTAAACAAAATTAATATCTTTCTATATTAAAACATAGAAATAGAGATACAAAACATGGACACAGGTGAAAAAGTACAAGTGTGTTGGTACTTATGACACATGCTTCCCAAAGGTGGTGTGCTGGGACATACACACCTCATTCTGTACAGAATTTGGAATCATCAACATTTTGGTTTTATATGGTATAGTACAGTGGAGTCCTGATAATTTGTGGGTTAGGTACCAGAAGATATCGTGAATTATCAAATCACATTATAGTTTAATTGATGTAAATGAAAACAATTAGTTTGGTTCCAGAGACCAAGAAATATCCATAAACTAATCAAAAACTGCTTTAATAAATACTAAACATGGTACATAATACATAAAAAAATAGTCACACAGATAGTGTTTAACAAAAAGTACAGTACAATACGCCCAGATAATTCGCGGACTTTTATTTTGCGGTCGTCTATTATTCGCAGATGGCACCCTGGATGTAGCCAAGAATGTCTGCGGGTCGTATTAAAGTTGCCGGCATTTTCGCGGCCGGGACAGGGAGACATTCGTTCTAGAGACAGTAATTTCCTTTACCTGTTTTTTATATATATATATATATATATGTGTGTGCGCGTGCATGTGTGCAAGTGTGTGTGTGCGTGTGTGCATGCGAGTTTGTGTGCGTGCATGCGAGTTTGTGTGCGTGTGTGTGCGTGTGAGAGTGTGTGTGTGCGTGTGCACTACACACAAAACACATACAAATAAATAATAATGGGAAAATCCTCTCACAAATAATCAGAATCAAATGTATATTAATATTGTTGAGTCTACCCTCAAGTCCACTCCGTGCTATATTAATAACAAACCACGGAGTGGACTTGAGGGTAGACTTAACATTATTAATATACATTTGATTCTGATTATTTGTGAGAGGATTTTCCCATTATTATTTATTTGTATGTGTTTTGTGTGTATGTGTATCTACACACACACACACATATATAAAATATAGGTAAAAGAAAGAAATGTCCTAAGGGCAAACACATAAAGGGAATATACATTCTTTGTACACAAGTAAAAATGTAACCCCACTTCCCCTCCCGGTAAGCAAATGTTATTTGTGGATTTGGCGATTTGTAGCCATTTTGAGAACCTAACCCCTACAAATTTGAAGGGCCTACTGTAGTTCTATATTACATAAACAGCTCCTTCCATTCTCATAATTTCGTGGGGGTTATGATAATACAACAACTTCAAGACAGGAAGGCGCTGGGTTGGTTGTAACTGTACTCTGCCAACAAAGAATCGGGAATTTAATACCACACACTAACTCATCCAGGGTTGATTGTGGGATTTTTGTTTTATTTATTTATTTTTTTTTTTATATTGATTACAATAGTGTGTTGTTAACTCTGTAGCAAATGAACATAAACAACATGAGAATTATGGTGAAAGTGCATAATGTTGTGTTAATGAGGTCAGAGGTGTGGACTTGGCTCAAGAACAGGGGCTTTATGTTAATTAACACTACAGCAGCCTGTGCTCATCTGCAAATAATGAATATTTAACCACAAGGTTTAAAAAAAGACGTAGTAATAAAAGAACTGTACCTGCTAATTAGATTTTTTTTAGTTATCGAGACTTCACTGGAGCTGGGTACATAATTTATGTAAATTTTCTATTTTTTTTTTCTCACTGTTATGTTATTTATCTAATAGCCACCCAAACTAGAGGTGGCCACCCTCCATTGTTCTTGATAGACCTGTCAAAGGCAATTTTGAAGCCCAATACTGTTCTCACTCCCAAAGCTTGAGCTGGGAGACTGTTCCATAGGACTACCACCCTCTGTCTGAAATATAATTGTCCTGCAAGACATCTTGACAAGCTTGAAGTTGTTCCCCTTCGTGTTGGTGGTGTGTGACATCACAAAAAAATTACCTGGTTTCACATTTTCCGTCCCTTTCACAATTTTGAATATCTTTGCGAGATCTACCCTGTTGTTTCTTGCCTGAAATGTTGTTATTCCTAAGGTTCTCAGGCTATTTGGATAATCGAAATGAAATAATTCAGAAGTCATCTTAATTTCTCTTTGTTGCAACTTTCCTAAGGATGTTAAGTCTTTCTGGAAGTAAGGTTTCCATACCTATATACAGTAATCCATATGAGGATGTATAACAGACTTCATCTTTATACTGTATTAAAGAGTTTGAATTATAACTTATAAATATTGGTTGACTTTTTCACTGCTTCTCCCACTTGTTGCACTGCCTTCATGATTGATGTATCACAATGCCTAGATTATTTTCCTTATCAACAATATCCAGGAAGGTATTAATAACAGAAAAGTTGTGATTGGGGTTGTTATATCCTATGTACAGACTGATCTTGGTATTCCTTCACTATATTACAGTAGAACGTCGATATAACGTGAGATATGTTCCAAGAGAGGTCGCTTTAAACCGAATTCGCACTAAATCAAAGTGTTGTTTCAATGGAATAATTTAGTTTGGTACTTGAGAGAAACACAAAATACTAAAAAGACTGAAAGTCTACCCAGATGCACCTCAGCCCATCTACAATAAACAAAACATTGTTTTTTGTAGTATTATGTTAAGATATACACCAAGAAATCAACACAGCTAAAATTATGGGACGTGAAATGGTCTGTTTACCAGCGATCAGCTGATGGGAATATGGGGGGAGGGGGGGGGGAGATTATATGTTTGACAATTGATGCCAAGGTCTGATGCTTATTTATTTATCTGTCCTTAAGAGTGACTTTAATATTTTCTCTTATAAAATGTCACTGAATTGACATGGGAGAATATAATTAACATTGCTGGAATTCTTATAAGATTAGTTTGAATACAGTATAGTCTTCGTTTATGCGGTCAATTGAACCCATGGAGGTCCGCGTAAAACGAGAAACGCATAAATGAAATAACAGAACATATGGGATTAATTGAAATAGAGACTGGGCTGACCCCCAAACTACGCTTTTTCCGACAATACGTACGTTGTAGTAAAAAAACATCGTAATTTTATGGTGGTATGCACACACAATTAATATTTAAGAGAAATATCAATAATATTAGGTTTTTTAACACACACTTTAGTAGAAAAGATGGCTGGGCACACGGGGATGGGGGGTTGGTTCCGAGGCAGAGGGCAGATTATTGGCCCTCACCTGTATCAATTGTATCACTATCCACCACAGAGGCTTGCAGGGTCTCTTTGTCAAACCCCTCAAAGTCCATATCCTTGTGCGCACCCTGCTCGCGCCGCTTCCCGCGTAAATGATGGAATGAACCGTGTAAATAAAAATTATCGGTCTGGCAAGGTGCCGCGTAAATGACAAAACGCGTAAATCGAGACTATACTGTAGATACATGCTATAGTTTGCATTAGACATACAAATTTCAGCTCTAATTAGTTTTATTATAAAGGGCTAAAATTTTGATCTCATGCAAAATATCTGATGTTTATATTCAAATTATTCTCTGTCTTGCAAAGAATCTAGCAATACAAATTATATTCTCTTAACTTTAGTCTGTGATATTATCTAAGATAAAAACTTAAAGCCTATAACCACCAAACCCTGGCTGGGAGGGGTGAAGGGATGAAGGGGAGGTGACAGTGACATGTTTGATAGTTGGCGCAGAAAGTCTAGTGAAGTATTTATTTATTTATTTATGTCCTTTAGATTGAGTTTTTGTTTTTTACTTATAAAATGTCACAGAAGTGAACGGGGAGAATATAATTTACCTTGCTAGAATTCTTATAATCATGCTATAGTTTGCACTAGACTAAAATTTCAGTAATCATTTAGTACATTATTTTGAGTACCTGTGCAGGACAGTGTAGCGTGCCCAGAGAAACATTAGGCGCGAATTTTAAAATATGATGCGTCAGATTGACTCGCGCAAAATAGGAAAGATTCGCTTTAAATTAAAGCATTGTCCTTAGTTGTGGGTGTCGCTTTAAATCAATAATCTTAAATTGAATCGCTTTAAATCGACGTTCTACTGTACCAGGTCTTCCTATGGTAGGTGGATCATAGACCCCACCAAAAAGATATCACTGAATTCTCTCTTCTTTCTCTGTGACTTGTGGCTTTTGTCAGCTGTTACTTTTCTGTTAGTTACAAATACTGTATTTTAAAAACATTGAAGTATGTGTGAAGGAATTTCTCCACAAGCTGGTTGTATTTTAGTTTTCTTTAAGAAGGTTGAATCATATTGCAAGGAAACATTTTATCTTACCTTCCAGTAATGAAATGCATTATTATATGTATGTATTTAACATTATCATCACCAATATTTGCAACAGTATATATGCATTGTATAAGCATATCACTGTAACATTGTAGTGTGTGGCGAGGTGATGCTAGATAATTCTGGATGGAAGTTCCAATGATTTTAAACAACAGAATTTGGTGTTAGAGGTCCCCTGTGTTGCCAGCCTATGATGTGTGGTGTTTTATTTAAAATTTGTGACAGGATAAGAGTACTGTATTGTAGATAGAGGTGTGTGTGTGATTTCCATATACAATAGCAACATTCTATATTTGAATTGATGACTATTACTTTTTAATAGCAAATTTTCACAAAATTTGGGACTCGCCACATCAAGGTATCCTTTATTCATGTCTTAGATGAAATTATGGAACACTAGAAAATGTGTACAATACGGTTCATTCATATATTTCTTTAAAGTGGTTTTAAGTGGCAGATAGCCAACTTTCTGTTTGCATTTGGAGTTAAATTGTCTTTTTTTTCCTGTTATATGAATTTTTTTTTAAGGCTTCCAGGTCTTATCATTAAAGACAATGCCCACTGGAAGGATGGAGTGATTGTTGTACTGTAGGTGAAGGTGATGATCATCCAGGAAGCACATGAGTACATGAATGAGAGGAGTGGAAAGTATAGTACAGTACTGTATATGTTTTAAGTGGTTTATGGTATGTTACAATAATGAGAGTGAATGAAGGGAGAGAGTGTGTCTGTTCTTGGTTCTGGTCACTGCAGTACAGCAGGACAAGACTTTTATCAATGAGGAAGAAAAAAGTTAACATCTTTATACTCTAGTTTGGAGAGATTGTTACTACTGTATAGTATTAATATTTTCTCCACTGTAGGTATACTGACTATATGAAGAAGATCTCCCCAAAGCAACTGGAGAGCATAAGAAATCTAAAGAAAAAACGCTCCGAGGATAAGATTAAACGTCAATTACGCCGGGAGAAGAAGAAAGAGGTCGAAGAACTAGGGAAGCCAAAATATCCCGGTAATGCCTTTATACTGTATGTGTCGACGCTGGACAGAGGAGAAGCAGCATCTAAGGTATTGTTAGCGTTGAATTTATATGATGCAGTACAGTAGGGTCAGGATATATTGCGAGATAGGATCCACTGATGTTTGCTATATGCTAAATCGTGATATATAATTACATGTAATCAATGGGGAAAATAGGGTTAGGTTCTGGAGGCAAAATAAAGGTGACTAAACTTGACATAAAATGGCACAGTCTAAAGTTAGCAGCATATAAATTATATTGATGGAATCCTTGCAAGACAGCGAATAATTTGAATATAGACATCATATATTTTGCACAAGAGATAAAATTTTTAGTCTTTGTACTGGAAAATTACTAATTATTACTAAAATATTTATTTCTATTGTGAACTATAGCATGTTTATATTCAAATTAATCACTATCTTATAAGAATTCCAGCAATGTTAATTATATTCTCTTAAGTCAATTCATTGACATTTTAGAAGAGAAAAACATAAACTCCCCCTATATGACAGATAAATAAATACCACTAGGTAACCTTGGCCACAGTTGTCATAATACATCAACTCCCCCTCCACTTCCAGCAAGATTGAAAGTTTTTATCTTATAAAATGTAATAGACTAAAGTAAGCAGAATATGAATTGCATTGCTGGAATCCTTGTAAGACAGCAAATAATTTGAATATAAGTATATATATTTTGCACAAGAGAAATTTTTTTGTCTTTTTGAGTACTGTACAGTTTTTCAACTCGTATTTTTGAGGCGATTTATGGGATTTTTAGGAGTGTTTCTGACTTTATACGGTTTTTGGCTTTATGTGAAGTCCCAGGAACATAACCCCACGTAAGTTGTGAGTCTACTGTAAATAAATTTATCGCTATATATAGGAAAATGTCGATAATTTGTTAGCCATGATATAAAAAAATCGTCATATAAAGTCGCTATATATCCCGACCCCACTGTAGTGCCTTGTGTTGCTATCATCCTGTTTAATAGCTCTTGCTTTTATAGGTAAGACTAATGTTCTTCGCGTGATAATAAAGTACAGTAACTGACAACTCAATCTACACTAAGTTCACACAAGTGGTGTAATGCAATGTTGATGTTAAGGATTCACTATATACTATATATATATATATATATATGCTGTGTAAGTAAGCTGAGGATATTAGCAAGTATGTGTGAGTACATTTAGTTGTTGTGTGAGTTCTTTCCTGTTGGCTTCTACACTAGTCTCTCACCTTTTTCCCTATTTATTCATTCCATTTGTTTGAGGTATCTACCTCCTGACCTACAGCACACAAAAGTGGAAAGGAGTAACTTGTAAATAGAAAGTTAGTAAAATAAATATTTACCAATATGAAAAAATACAACTGGCTCTTAACTACATAGTCTTAATCAAAGAAATCTACCCTTTGTTTTATTATGATATACAGTAGACCCTTCCCATTCGCGGTTTATGATTCTTTATTTTGACTCCACGGTAAGCAGCTGGTGGCTAGCATGTGAGCCTTCTCCCACAGCGCAACGAGTCACCCCACGCGCTTGCGGTGTCTCATCCCACTCTCTTTGCCCTCACCCAGTACCCGTGACCTAGCATCCCGTGTCATACTCTCAATACTTTCATGTTTCTTTGTGAAAATGTCCGCGAAAAGACTGCTTAGTGTCACTGCTCGTGATGCTAGTGGAGTGAAACAGAAAAGGCAAAAGTCAGTGATGATCCTGGCAAAGAAAATTTAATTATTAGACAAGTTAAAAGAGGGGACAAGTGCTGCCGCGGTTGGTCGGTTGTTTGGTGTGAACGAATCCACAGTGTTGTACCTAAGAAAGAATGAACAAGCAATTCGTGATTCTGTTCAAGTGAGTGCTTCTTTAAGTGCTAAAGTGGCGCAGGTTGTTCGTGGCAAGAACATTGTGAAAACGGAGAAAGCACTGAACATTTGGATTGAGGATCAGCACTGCATAAATGTTCCGATTGACAGCAACGTGATTCGTGAAAAGGCTAAAAGTCTTTATGCACATTTTTATGAGTCAACAGGTGGTGAAGGGCTAGTTGCAGTAACTGAACCAACTTTTAGTGCCAGTAAAGGATGGTTTGAGAATTTTACGAAAAGATTCTCGCTCCATAATGTGAAACTAACCGGGGAGGTCGCATCAGCTGACCACACAGCAGCAAGTGCATTTCCCGCCAAGCTGAAGAAATTATAGAAGAGAACGGCTATAGACCAGAGCAAGTGTTTAATGCTGATGAATCTGGTTTATATTGGAAGAAAATGCCTGGTAGATTGTACATAAACAAGCAGGAGAGGCATGCCTCTGGGTTCAAGGCAGCCAAGGACAGAGTGATGCTATCTTCTGTGGCAATGCTGCCGGCCACATGATCAAGCCTGGCTTGCTCTACCGCTCGGCAAACCCTAGGGCTTTAAAGGGAAAAAACAAGAACCTTTTGCCAGTGTTTTGGCAGTTCAACAAAAAAGCATGAGTAACTGTACAAACATTCCTGGACTGGTTCCATTAATGCTTCGTTCCGGAAGTGGAAAAATACCTTGCTTCCAAGAAGATGGAATTAAGGGTGTTATTATTGATAGACAATGCACCAGGCCACCCAGAAAGTTTACAGTTTAGCGATCCAGGTGTAGAGGTGGTGTTCCTACCCCCCAACACCACTGCTCTTATCCAACCTCTCGATCAGGGTGTAATACGTATCTTCAAGGCATTTTATACACGCCGCTCTTTTGGTCGTATACATAGTGCCATGGATGAAGACCCTGACCTTGATGTTAGTAAGTGTTGGAAGGAGTACAGCATTGCAGACTGCATTACCAACATCAGTGAATCATTCAATGAACTCAAACCAGAGACGGTGAATGCTTGTTGGTGCACCTTATGGCCTGAGTGTGTGAATAACTTTCAGGGATTTCCGTCCATAATAAAGGATGTGAATGACATTGTGAGTGTTGCACGTCAGTTGGGTGGTGAGGGGTTTGTGGACATGGCTGCTGAAGACGTGGAAGAACTGATTGATGGGCATGGAGAGGAACTGACAGAAGAGGATTTGGAAGAATTGGTAAAAAGTGCCAAGGAAGATGAAGAGAAAGACATTATGGAACTACAACAAGAAGGTTGGGGCTTGGAAAATTTTGGTGAACTATTTCATCAGGTAAAGATGGTGAATGATTTCATTGTTGACCACGACCCTTCCATGGGACGCAGCCTTAAGATGGTTCTAGGAATCAACCAGGTATTGTTTCTCTATCAGGAAATATTTAAAGAACTCAAAGTCAAGAGGAAACAACTACCAATCGCCATGTTTTTCAAGAAAGAACCAGCTACTACCGCTGCCACTCCACCCTCCTCTTCCTCCCAGCCATGCGCATCCACCCGGTCGTGTGCCACTCCACCACCTACCTCTCCACCACCTACCTCTCCACCAACCACCACTGATTCACCCTCTTCCTGTAGTGATCTTGATGATACACCTAAGCTTCAGTAACCAGATGTCTACCTACGTACAGTGCACCACTTCATCAAGCTCCAGACTTCCACATACAAATGTAAGTATGTGACTAAAGTTTCTCATACACAGTACGTATTGGTATACCTGTATATTAGTGCACTAAGGTATATATAGGTGGCTATTCGTGGTTTTTGCCAATTTGAGCCATTTCTTGGAACCTATCCATCGCGAATAGCAAGGGTCTGCTGTACTGTACTGTCTTTATTTTTTTCATTCCCTGGGCCCTGATGTGGGTCGGTGACCTGTGCCTGCGTGGGCTAATCCCTGTAAAAAAAAAATCACTGTATGGTAGTCTGTTGCTTATAATGTATATCCTTTGTTGTGGCCAGCAGGGAGATTCTGGCTTAAACTTCTCCCAGGTGTTAGTCTTGTCACATCTTTTATTGATTCCTGCCTGTTTCCACTACATCTATTTATGTCTTGTCTTCCCGTTCTTTTATGTCAATGCCGTATTCATTTATTCATCTTCGTTGTTCTCTACAATTTCTGGCCAATCTTTTCCTCACTAAAGTCAACATTATATATATATCTTAACAATTTGCTGTTACTAATGCATTTTTTTCAACCACTTTTGTTACAGTAGTTAAAGGGAATGTCTGACACACTAATTAGAATTTAGAAAAAAAATGTACACATGATGGATGGTGATTGTGATGGATGATGATGGTGATTGTGATGGATGATGATTGTGATGGATGATGATAGTGATGATTGGATGATGCTCGCATAAAGATCTTGGAATTCCTGCACACGTAAGAATAATTCCATTGGATTGGATTTCTTTTCCTTGTAGGACTTTGTGTCGGGAGCAGCAAGACAGTGGCACTTGTTACCAGAGGAAAGGCAGAATGTATTTAGAGAAAAAGCCAAGAAAAAATTAGAAGAGTATCAGCGTGAACTTGCAGAGTGGGAAGCTAAGTAAGTGGTGGACTGTTAACATTCATGTCAGTTTCTTCTGCTCAGAGGATATACTGGTATTTCTCCTTCTCTCCCCTGCCTCTTCCTCTCTTTCTCCTTTAGTCTCTGTATTTTACCTTCATACAGAATAATAGGTAAAAACTGTCAGGCAGGGTATGCTGAGCACCGCTATGAAATGGATAAATCATTTAGCTCTTGATAATATTTTCCTAATGGTGGATGACGAAGGGTAAATTGACCTATAATCTGCAAGTTTTGTACAGTAACATTAGGTTCAATGAGGATTATATATTAGATTTATTCTTTATTGGGGAAGTGAGGATACATTTGATTAGCTCACTTGAGATGTAAAGCAAAGATTCTCTTGTAATGGCATCAAAATTACTTGGAGATTCTTCCATAAAGATAGCAGTATTCCCACATTGTTAGTAAAGGAGAAAAGAAATATACACTATGAGAATCCAGGTTTACTGAAGTAGGAATGGAGTGAAGCTGATAGATGGGTTACTCATGCTCTCTAAAGTTGTCCAGGCTGCCACAACACTCGGTGATATTATTGTCTTGCTGTGAAATAATGAGACTGAGAAAATGTCTACATCTTCTGGATATAGCTACATACAGTACTGTGCTGTTCATCCATGTGTGTGTGTGTGTGTGTGTGAGCAGAGATCCTTGAGACATGATGAGTCTTCTCTTTTATGTTTGTATGAGACTTGATAGAAATATTCTTCTAGATAAGATTTCAGAGAAGAGTCAGTCACATTGAAGCATAGGAACAATCAACTGTTATTAATTGTTATTATAATCTTAACCAGCATAATATTTAGATTTTTTATAGCCATTCTGATCATGAGAGGATAGCAGGAGAATCTTTCCTGACCATCTCGTTCATCTTCCCATTAAGGAGATAGAGATAATAAGTGTACATAAACCATCTTCACTTTGGTGTAGTGTATAAATATATATTTAAACCTTGGGCTTAAGCACTTTGGTGATCAGGCAGACTTGTATGTTTTATAGAACTAAATTCTAAGATACCCGGTACTACTTACACCTTCTTTACCATATACTGTACTAGAATTACCATAAATCAAGTATGGTGCATCCTTGTGGATCAGTACTGCTGGAAAAGTGTATACAGCACTATATATGCTGTACTGCACAATTTTAACTAAAGAATTACTTTGTTAATAGAGTTATCTTACAATTATTTAAACACAATTTTTTATTTATTTTTTTCAGAATGTTGAAAGCCGGCAGAGTAGATTTGGTTCGTAGCAGTCAGCTTGGGCCAGAATTGAAACAAGACCTTCAGTCTCGGAAACATCAGCACTAGGGACACGCATCAGGTGATGGTGAAGTAGAGTTTTTCAAAGCTGAGGTTGACTCTTTACCAGTTTCCCAGGAGGGGGTAGGACATTCTCTGCAGCAGGAACCCGATAAAGAAAGACATAGTCATAAAGCAGCAGCTGAGTCAGGGAGGTATGGGAAAAAAATCATATCAGGGTTGTTAGCAGAACAGATGGGAGATGAAACAGTTTGTAATATTTCTAGTGTGGAGTTGAGTAAGAAAGTAAAAAAAGAAAAAAGGAAAAAAGGTGAAACAAAGGAGAGGGATAAAACTATCTTTGTTCAAGAGGGCATAATTCAAGAGTTGACAAGTCCAGAAATTCACAATTCAAAGCCATTGTCCACACACAGGCAGGCAGTAGCTAGGCAAGGGGAAGATAATGTGCAGGCTTTTGGACTTTCTACATTATCACCTGAAAAAGTTAATAGTGTTGTAGTGATAACACATAAGAACAGGAGCAAAAACAATTGTGTTAGTTTAGGTGCTATTTATGGTGTGCCTCTGATATCTGAAGGGACATCCAGTTTTCAATGTACTAATTGCAGCTTTTTATTAAATGCATATTGCAAATTTTGTATAGATATTGGCAATTTCAGTGAACTTGAGGTGGCCAAGTTTACATATATGTATGTTAAGAGACAGGCGTTGTTGACACAAAGTACTGGATCTCAGGATGAGGTGTTTCTCAAAGACTATTTTAAGAATTTGCCAAAGACTCCAGTGAAGCATTGCATAAGTGAGAATGAGACTGACTTGAAGAAGGAGAACAAGGCAGAGCCGTTACTTTTAAGTAACAGTGAGCAAGAAGGATCACCAGCAGAGTCTCCTGAGGCAACAGTGCAGGAAACTGGTCAGGAGGAAGGTAAACATTTTTATTCCAGGTGTAGTAAGCATAAGGTTGATATACCGGTAGTTAATATGAAGGAAAGTTCAGTCACTGATGAATCTAAAATTAATAACTTTTTGAAAGATAGTCATTCTTGTAATAAAAGATTAACATATAATAAACTTAAAGCATTATCTGATATGAATAATGATTTAGTATTTCATCCTGATGTGTTTGTTAGTATGGAAGGTGTTTCTTCATTTCTGGGTCATTTATCACACATTAAAGAAGGACAATTTTTAGTTTCAATTCATCCAGTTATTTCTTGTTTCATGAATCATGATTATGCGTCTCAGTGCCTCAACTTAAGTCTCTTGGATTTATTCAATATTTTCATGGGAAGTACAATTTTTTACTGTGTCATTTAGTGAATGTAACTATTATGTACGGTATACAAAATAAACATGTCTTTTTTGTTGAATGTTTCAGTGAACCACTTGTGAACAGCTAGGTTATTGGGTATTAATGCCTTTCTGGGCTTGTAAAATATTATATTTTTTAATGAATTCATTTTAAAAGATTTATTTTGAAAGTAGTTTAACACTGACCAACATTGCTCATTGTAAAGTTTTCTTTGGGCTAGCCTTTAATGGGGACAAACATTCAAGGGAATAACATAAGAATTCATTTTCTGTCAATGGCCAGAGTGGAAAAATCAGGTTAAGGTTAAAAAAAATTTGATATAAACATTTGAAAATTACTGTATATTTTTTCATATTCATCACATCATTGGTGAATCACGAAGCAGCCATCATACACACTGTAACAGAGTGATTAATCATTAGGTGAAATATTCTGGAAGGGTAAATCTTCAGGCGATCACAAGATTGTCTCTCAAGCATAATTCCGGTTTGGTACTGAATAGTTTTAACAGCCAAATGATTCAGATTAGTTCATATACTGTACAGTACTTCTACATGATCTGATTAACACTTTTACACTTCCACATTTTTCCCCAGGTCTTGACACAAGGAAAATTACTTAGTAAGTATTTTCTGGTAAAACAAACATTTATTAAAAACATTAAAATATAATCCGTTCTAGAAGGTTGCTCGTTAACCGAAACCATTGTTTCAATGGGTTTTTGGGTAAATGGTTCCAGCTCACCGAAAATTGCCTAAATTCAACAAAAAAGGTAGAAAAGTACACTTACTTTGAGGTGTGTATGTAGAAGGCTCCTGGATGATGATGATGATGATGATGATGGGAATTAGAATGGGGGTGGAGGAGAAGGGAGAAGAGAAGGCATTGGGGTGGAAGAGAAGTCGCCCCATGGCGCCATTTCACCTATAAAATTTTAGCTCTTTTGGTGTAATTCAAGATTATTTTCTTTAAATCAACACTGCACTGCATTATATATTGTCAATATGTAAAATAAATTTCAAAATGACCAATAATTTGCTTGCAAACACAAAAAAAGCATTTAGTTGAAGAGAGTCTCAAGCAAGATGTTACCTCCACTGAAAAGACACAAAGACTGACGCCTGTATGGTGTGTTGAGAGGCTGGATGGCGCGCATAAAACTAGTTTCATTATCTTCAATTATGTTCAATAATTGTTAAAATGACGAAAAAAATTAATATTAAACTTTTAAAATTATTGAATAGTATAAACTTCTTGATATTTGCTAAAATGGTAAGGAATTTAGGCCCTAGAACCGATAACTGTATTGGCGGACTAATACTACAACTGGTGGACCGCCAAATTCAAGCGAAAACATGTTCAGGTCGACTCGTAAGAAACTCGTTAATTGAGGGATTGCTCGTTAACCGAAGTTAAGAATCTTATGGAAGGTAACTCGTTAACCGAGGGACCACTGTACCATAATTTTAGTCTGGATGAGCTGTTGCTGTGTGGCTCATTGCCCATCTGTCCAGAGGTTATAATATTCTTCCTTTTTTTAAAAATTGCTGACTCAGATTTGTTGAAGCTTCTGTCATGTTCCTTCAGTACTTCTCTTTCAGAGTTATGTCTGATGTGAACCTAAACCATCCCAGGTGAACATTAAGGTCTCTTTGGCTATTGCTTTTATCCTACCTGCTCTATATAATTTAAGGAGTTACTTCATGTACAGTATTGAGTTAAGTAAACATTCTCTGTACTGTAAATTCTTTTATTATATGTACAGTATACAACAACACAGTTGAGTGACAAGGTTCAGTCATATCATGCATGGCTGAATAAATATGAAGGTAATTGCTGGGTTACAACTACTCATTTCTGCATAATTTACATTATTTTAACCCTTAAGTGGCCACGGATATCTCATCAATCACCGAAATGCCCCCCAAAAAAAACATTGGATTATTAAGTCTTCCCAAAATGTGCAATACTGTAACCTTATAGTAATAGAGAGACATGCCGAAAGATGTAATGTTAAAAAAAATACCTTTACAGTTATCTGGTGGAGTTGTTTCTTTCTTAGTGCCAATCATACATAGATTATCCCCAACATTTTAGGGGAGAGTGAAATGTAGAGGGGTGTGTTTAGTGATAGCAGCCATGGTGAGGGGACTGATCACATGCCTACCATATGATAAATTACTTAGTTACAAACCCTTTTACTGATTAACTTTATAAAATTACTGGTACACAACGTATTTCTAACTAAAAAAAAATTAACTTCCCGCTCTATCTTATTTACTTACTGTACTTACCTATATTACTTAGTGTAGAGTGTAATGTGTGTAGATGTGTAGCCAGTGAACAGAGGCAGAGTTCTTGTTCCTGCCAAATTCACCTCAGATGTTCAAGCCTGTGCAAATATTTAAAAATATCACTGCAAAATTATAGTGTTTATATTTGTTGGCCACAACATTTATACAGGTACACCACCTATTTTCTGGGAACTGATGGTCTGGAACCTCCTTTAGTCTGAAAAAAATTACGAGAGGGCACTTAACTTCCCTCCCTCCCTCCCAGCCAGGGTGAAGGTAGTTTTTGGCTTAAAATTTTTATCTTATAAAATGTCACAGACTAAACTTAACAGAACATAGCTTGCATTGCTGGAATCCTTGTAAGATAATGATTAATTTGAGTATAACATCCCATAGTTTGCACAAGAGATAAAGTTTTTAGTCCTTTAGTGTAGTACATTTGAGTACAAAGTGAGTACAGTGAGTTCTGCTATAACGCGTGTTTTGATAACGCGAATTTGCTCTAACGCGATTTATGAATTCGGAACAATATTTGTATAACGCGAACGCCTGTTTGCTATAACGCGATTTTTGCTTACTATTTCTCCAATTTTGTGGTATTAACTGTGATTATGGTAAAGAAGAATATCTCCAAAAAGCGTTCTGATGATAGAATTCCCGGTGATTATCGTAAAAGAAAGGATATAACACTTGAAGAGAAGCTCGATGTTATCAACCTCAAAATCACCCTTCTCCCCCATCAAGTTACATTCATATTTTTTCAAGGTAAAGTGTTACATTTACTGTATGATTTCATTATTATATATGAATGTAACATTTATTTAGACTGTGCTATCCTTTGTGTTAGGCTAACTACTAAATTTTTTCGATTTCGAGTAATCTGCACCTAACCCTATTTTCTCCATAAGCCCTGTTATTTCTATTACGCGATTTTCTATAACACGATATTTTACAAGAACACAATTATCGCGTTATAGCAGAACTACCTGTACAGTAATATGTTGTTCAAAATTATGGCTTTTTCACATTTAATTTACATTTCATATTTATTTAATTTAAGTTTCTAGCAGTCCATGGTGCTTTTGAGACACAGGAGGTGTATAATTAGTGGGTCAGAGGTGTATTGTTGAATTATGAATTGTTATTACCTAACCTCGGTTGGTCCGGCAAAACAGATAATCCGGCAAGGCTTTGGAAACAAGGGTGCCGGAAAATCGGTGGTGTACCTGTATATGCTGGCCGCAAACACCTACAATTTTTTTTTATAAGTTGGCCGCATGCTAAGGGTTTAAGATATACAAGTGCTGTAACACCTATGATGATGATGATGATTAATAACTCAGCAGAGGGTTCCTGTGAAATTGTGTCCACGGGAACTTAAGTTACTGACTGTTTCATTATGATAATTTTTCAATTCTTTGAGAATGGGAATGTACATTTCTTGTTCACTGAGCCCTATCTTTACTTAACTTATTTAGATATGGACCTATAAGGTTTGGAGCCTATTAATGACAATATGCTTGATAAAAGAACTTCCTGGGTTGTCATATTCTTTCCATGCAATAATTCATTTAAAAAAATTATGCACAGTTAGTTTCAACCAAAGGAGTCATGCATCAAGATAGGTAAGGTTACAAGAACTCTGAATGTGTGATGCCACAAGTCAAATTTCTTTAGTCCTGACTGTTTAACAACCAGATGAGGATCTGGATACTGTATACAGGTGTAGAGCCTCTGTCCACAACACAGCCGAGACCTAGGTAAGTAAGTGTATTCAGAACACAAGTTAGTGCTCCCTCAATCATGTAAGTCAGAAGGTATCTGCCCTCTCACAATCTAGAATGTCTATTTTCCAGGTAAATTCAGAACTGTCACCAAAGAAGTTTTGTTACCTAAAATCATCACACACACTGGAACCTTTGGCGATTCCTCTTTTAGAATCTGTTAATGATCCCAAAATCAATCTACTGTACAAGGAATTTTAACATCTTATGAATGTCTTTCTTTTTCCTCCTGTCTTCAAAGCCACTTTCATAAATTATTTACATTAAGCTTTCACTAATATATATCTTTCGCTAATACTATATATTTTCCAATTGACTCGCCTAAATCTTATCCAAACTTATATTAACTTCCTTTCACCCTTGGGTTAGTTCTGGCTGAGGTGTATTGTGATCAGGTGTCTGAGGGACACTATTAATCATCCTAACTGAGGGCTCTTCCACAAAATTTACAGTACAGGAATACTTCTTTTTATTTATGTATTTGTTTTTGTTCTCATTCTTTATCATATGAGTCAGTTTTGTCTTGGTGTCTTTACTAGGTTGGTGGTGGTTTCTGGGGACTGGCTGGGCCGACTTGTGGACCTGGATAGATGATGTTCTTGCAGAAGTCTTTCCTCCTCTGCCGGGTGTCTCACCCCCAAACTCCCCACAAGACAGTGACTATTTACAAGATGAAAGTTCCTCTACTCAAGAGTACCATAGTCTACATGATCCTAACTCATCATTATTAAAAGTGGAAACCACTTCTCAAATATTACCCAATGTGGATGTCTCGAGTACATCAACTCAGTCATCTCCAGCTCTGGATACGTTTAAACAGTCATCACCAAATATAGTTGCCACCATCCAGTCATTCACAGATCAGTATCACCTCATTCAGTCATCCACAACTAGAAATAACACAATCCATTCATCCACAGATCAGAATAACCTCATCCAGTCATCCACAGATCAGGATCACCTCATCCAGTCATCCACAGATCAGGATCACCTCATCCAGTCATCCACAGATCAGGATCACCTCATTCGGTCATCCACAAGTGGAGATAACACAATCCAGTCATCCACAGGTAAAGATAACACAATCCAGTCATCCACAGGTAAAGATAACACAATCCAGTCATCCACAGGTAAAGATAACATAATCCAGTCATCCACAGGTAGAGATAGCACAATCCAGTCATCCACAGGTAAAGATAACACAATCCAGTCATCCACAGGTAAAGATAACATAATCCAGTCATCCACAGGTAGAGATAACACAATCCAGTCATCCACAAGTTAGAGGTAACACTTCAGTCATCCACTGACCACAATAACACCATCCGGTCATCCATTGATCATAATAGCACCATCCAGTCATCCACTGACCACAATAACACTATCCAGTCATCCACTGATCACAATAACACCATCCACAGGATGGTGTTATTGTGATTGTGGATGACTGGATGGTGTTATTATGATCAGTGGATGACTGGATGGTGTGATTGTGATTGACTGGATGGTGTTATTGTGATTGTGGATGACTGGATGGTGTTATTATGATCAATGGATGACTAAATGGTGTGATTGTGGATGACTGGATGGTGTTATTGTGATCAGTGGATGACTGGATAATGTTATTGTGGTCAGTATCCAGTCATCCACTGATCACAATAACACCATCCAGTCATCCACTGATCACAATAACACCATCCAGTCATCCATTGATCACAATAACACCATCCAGTCACAATAAAACCATCCAGCTATTCACACAGATATTGATACAGTACTTCCATACAGTTAATGGGTCATTCAAACACCACAGCCACACGAGGCCCTGAACTAGTTCTCAGCCGCGTCCCAGATTGAATATACAGTATACCTCAGGCACTTGAAAACAACATCATAGGTAATCAAGCAAAACAAATTTAAGATCTGAGCACCTGTCATTCTTTATAACATCATAGTTCATCATTTTCTAATCTTGATTCATTATGCTATAGATTGTGACTAACAGATTCTTTAAACATTTTCATTTTAGTTTCCTTTTTTTTATGGTTTAATCATATTAATTTTAATTTTGTGTTCAGTCCCCGTATTATAATGTAATGAAACCCATGTATAGTACTTACCTGATCTTTAAGTTTGGTATTCTCCTCTTTTAAAATTAAAAGGCAAAATTATTTCAGAAAAATGTATACATACAGTACAGTAAATTCTGTTATGCCAGTGGTGAATGATTCTTAAACACTTCCTTTGGATGTTGGAATGAAGTTGTGTTGTGTTTCCTTCGTCTTTCATCAGGTGTTTTAGTTGGTGGTGTACCTCCATTACTTTTTTCTGAAATATAACTTTTAGTCTACACCAGGTTATTATTATTTTTTCATTTAGGGAAGTATAAATCATAATGCCATCCCTCAAAACATTCAACATTTTATTATCTATTAAACTCATGCATTATTTTGTCTTATGGCTAGCCCATAAATGGGATGCCCCCAGTTGACCCACCTGGTTGGTCATCAGTATGCTGTATCCACACTGCTTATAATGGGCCAGCAAGCATGACACCCATATTCATGCAAAAAATTACTTTCTTCTTTAACCCCTACCCCCTGGGCTAGGGTGCTACTGACCGTATCCCCTATGTGGGTTAAATCGAGAAAAATCAACTTTTCTTAATTTTTTTTTTTTTGGCCTTTTTAAATGATAAAACAATCAAAAACAAGTAAGAAAAACTATATATTGACCCTCTAGAAACTTCCCTGGGGCCACAGTGGTAAGGGAGATATGGGGACAGTGTTGTTTTGATGGCTCGCACTCGTGGTCACTACGCACTTAGCGGTAATTTTCTGTTTGCCTTTGTGTCCGGGATGGCCAGTAATGCATACCGTATTTTGCGGCGTAGAAGACGCACTTTTTATTACGAAAATATACCTTGAAAATTACCATGCGTCTTCCAAGACCCTAGTTGATGGATTGTAGCAGAGGTTTTCTTAGGGTCAACTGAAATCAGCCCCTTACAAAGACTGTTACCTAATATTGTTGATACACTGTGAAAAATACGATTTACTTAGTAGGTAAAAAATTAAAAATAAACGGCTGCAGCTACACAACCCTTGCTGCTGTGCGGTTTGTTTACTAATGGCAGTGGTGTGACAGCGCCATCTATTGAGAAATTGCGAAAGGTTGTCTGCTGGTCTCAAAGCACAGGAATTTTTTTTTTTCACTTGAGTGAAGAACATAAACACTTTTTTTCTTTAGACATTGATATACTTGTTTACATTTGCTTACCTTCTACTGATGGAAAATATTTCTCGTCATTATCATATCGACAAAATCAAGAGAAAGAATGTAAACACTACAGCCCGCTAGACGTGGAGGTGACCAGGTGTAGAAAATAAGTGCTATATTAAAGATTTCCACTTAAACAGATTTTGTATTAAAAATTGATGAAAATGACGACTGATAAGTAGTTCTAAGTGATGATATTCAAAGAGGTGCGTGTACTTGTGCAAAAAGGTCTGTATGTCAAGCAAAGATTTCACTGGTGTCGGTTAGTAAGAATAAAAGTTTTTTCCTGGAATTACATTTCCAAAATCGGGAGCGTCTTCTACGCCACAAAATACGGTATATATTTACTGATCATAATACATATTTCTTATAAATAATTAATTTAGAATATTTAATTGCAAGTTAAGAGCAAGTTATGCATACAAATAATTATCGGAATAATAATTCCACAAATAAATACATTTATAACATAATCATAGCATTATTTTCCAGTAATACTACACTACTTTTAGTGTGAGAGGTTGAGGTACGACTCTCCATGGCGACAGGCTAATGTGTACTAAACGTACTGAGCCCACCCACGCTACCCTGTGTGTGGAGTGACCACCAAATAGTCATGCTGGAACCTTGTAACCTGCGCTGGGCATTCAAACAATGCCGTGAAAGGGCGCTCGTTCCACAATGTCAACTGGGGCGTAGGGGTTAATTGGTTTTTCTCCTGTGTGAAAGTCTTAAATCATTACAGCACAATACTATGATATAACTTTTTTTAGTTTCTAATTTATTCTCCTTTGTTTATTGATAGAAGACAGCTCTTACCATTACAAAAATGAGGAGAGTAAACTGTCAGTGATAATTTATAAAAGAAAATGGTACAGTAGATGATATATTTGTTACCATATATCATTCAACACAACTGCTTTTCAAGTCATTAAATTTACCACCATGAAACACATTGTTACAATGTAATAAAGAGAAAGCAACTTTAAGAGAAATACAAATGATAGCCAACAGCAATATAGCAATGAGTCCCTTCAATGCTGTTTGCCAGTATGGAAGAAGATAAAGACTAGTAAGGTAAGAATGGAAAAAATAAGGATTAAGAAGTTATTACAGTACTGTATTAGTGTTTATATTATTCAACTGGCACAAACAAAGTGAGACAAGTGAGGTTCTGGTGAATCCAATATTATGTAATAATTGCAGTGCTTCCCACTACTGTACAGCACTTTTACTTCTGTTATTGACTGATTCCACATAAAATTTACTACAGTACTGTACTGTACAGTATTAAAGAATGAGTACAGGTATCCCTCGTTATCCTAATGGGTTAAGTTACTGGAAAACCATTTGTATAGCGAATAACAGAACAATTGGGAAAAATAGAGTCCAGTTCCCAGTGACAAGAAAACTTCAATATTATACCTAAAAGAATTAAATCGGTTCACGGACAACAAAAAAACTTTCTAACTACTGTAATTTAACACTGTACCTATCTGGTAATTGCTAAACTAAATAAATTGTACTGTACAGTTGGTACATTTCCTTATTGGAGGGCTGTCAGGACTTGCCACAGGATGAAGTACAATATAGGGTGGGCTGATTTGAATTACAATTTAGTGAATTTGAATTTTCAATCTATCTTTTGGATAAGCGAGGATTGCTTTTGAATAATGAAAATAAGGCGCAAAATAAAAATTTGGGATAATGGGGGATACTGTAGCTGTATTTTGTTTCAATAGTCTTAAAAGATCCATCTGATAATTTTGTTTGCACTATTTTGTAAAATCCTGGTTTTCAATTTCAATTCACTTTTGCACATCAAGTTTATTGAGTCCTTTGATTAATTTACGTATTATACTTAAATGATATCTCCTCTTATTCTCAGTTTTTTTGAGTCAAGATAAGTTGAGAATGCAAATTGATTCTTATGTTTACAATCAAGAACTGTGTGCAGTATATTAGGTGAATGTTGGGAGGCTTAAATTAAAAAAATCCACTGTTGAAGGACAGTGTTTGTTAGGCCTACTTTACTGCTGCTGTTCAATACTTGTTGGGCTTCAGGGTGTTTGATAATGCTTCCTATATGTTTTTCCTATGTTACTGTACTTTGGTTTTCCATAAAGTTTGCTAAAGTTGGCCTTCATGTCTGTTTAAAAATGATAGTGATATTTTCATTGTGCTGAACATACAGGAACCATTCATGTGCAATCCCATCCTGAATTTTATCTTGAAGATCATTTCCACTGAGTTTTGTCAATATTGGATTTAAAACAAGAGACTTACTGTGCTTAAGAGAGAGACCCACACACATCCCGACAGTTTTCCATTGAGATTAAGGGAACTCTTGTGGGTCAGTAAATTCATCTAAGCCTTTGAGAATTTTATATTAGTAATCAGATAATGATTATTGTACCAAGTTTTGACTCAACTTAAAGTGGTAGGAATATATAGTACAAGAATGTATCAGGTCTGTAAGTGTATAGACAGACATCAGTGACATCTCAATAAATTTTGTTATAAATTCATTCTCATGAGACTTAGCTGAAATGTTCTCTTAAGATTATGAATGGGATAATGCTGAAGTGACCACTGATTATGTGAAGCCTTTCTGGAGTAATCATAAGAATACAAATGTCACTACCACGGGACTTGAAATAAATGTTTGTAAAAATGTATATATGACCTTGTGAACACTACAAATATTGTTTTTATTTTTTATGATAATAATTGAAGAAATTATAAACAAAATATAGTGTTCATATAAATGTTTATTTTATTTTTCCCTGAGGATGGTGGTGCGGGGAAGAGGATGAGTAATCTCCCCGTTGGCTGGAATCCTGGGTCCCAGAAACTCTTCAGTAGATGGGAAAACTCTCTCCATTCCAGGCATGGCAATGAATTTCTGAGGAAGAAAATCATGTAATTTTCTGGAAAAAATCAGAAAATCTCTCCAAATCTCTCTGTTCTGGGCACGGGAAAATTTTTTCCGGGAGTTCCGAAAGATTGCACCATGCTCCGATACTTCCGCACGTTTTCCCACGTGTTGCTTAGGTAACGTGCGAGCTTTTTTAATATTTTGCTGCCGTCGTACAAGGTTGTTCCCTTGCTTGCTGCTGTTTTTTCATACAATTTGTGTTCTGCCGTATTGTACATTACTGTGCCAGGACAAAAGCAGCAATACAGTGTTAAGACGTAATAAGTGGTTAGTTACGTATACTGTTCATACATTCAGCAAAATGGACAGTGTATGCCTACTGTAGTGAACCTGGGTTCGATCCCTGGGCAGGGTGAAACTATGGGCACGTTTCTTTACACCATTTGCCTCTGTCTACCCAGCAGTAATTGGGGACCTGGATGTTAATTGATTTGTGGATCGTGTTCCGGGGTAATGGTTAGCCAGTGCTGTTGGCGAGTTGTCTAGTCTTCTCGGATTGTTCCTTGACACTGGGTCATGGAACTCGTTAACTTAGAGCGTGGTTGTTGTGTTGGTGACAGCTTCTACACCTTAAACAAATACACTCCTAGGTGGCCCTAGGACCTGCCATACTCGATCTCAAGGGGCATCCATTATTATTACTGTATGCAAGTGACAGTAATACCTGCTAAAATAGATGGTACAGGACAAAGGCAGGCCATTCTGTATCATCATAACACCATTTGGCTTTCCTGCATCACAAGTGCAAGTTGACAGCATCTGGTGGTGAGTACTGTACAGTTGTCCCTCGGTTAACGAACGCCTCGGTTAACGAAATTTCGGTTAACGAATTACCTCCCATAAGATCTTCAATTCGGTTAACAAACAAAAATTCGATTAACGAAATTCAAACGAAAATCACGTTTTGTTGTGAGCAATAGCTGGTCAACTGATGACCCAGTCTGCCAATTCAGTAATCTGTTCTGTTTAAATTCATTTCCAATTGAGTAAATATAATTTAAGTTGAGCTTTTTAATATTTGTTAATGTTTTATGTTATAATTATTGTATTAGTAATTTTAATATTAAATATTGATAATATATGCAGTACTGTAGAGGGAACTAACATACCAGTTTGGTGTTGTGAGAAATCAGCAGAGGGGGTACAGTACTCGGCCAATTCTATGTTTAAATTCATTTCCATTTTAGTAAATATAATTTAAGTTGAGCTTTTTAATATTTTTGAATGTTTTATATTAAAATCATTAGTCATTTTAACATTTATTTAACATATTGACAATACATGTATTATCTGGACATTATATGAATCATATCCCTGTACCCTCTCACTCTCAGTCTGCCTTGTTTAATGAAAGAGAGCAGCCGTTTTGTTGGTGTCTTGAATAATTTTGCATTTTTCATTGAAATTATTGGTCATTCTGAATTTTAGTTAACATATTGATAATATGTAGCGTATTGCAGTGTTGATTTAAAGAAAATAATCTTGAATTACACCTAGTGAACTTAAAATTTTATGGGTGAAATGATGGCATCAAGCATGGGTCCCCTGAAAGGTGATTTCTCCTCCATCCCCACTTCCTTCTCTTCTCCCTTCTCCTCCACCCCCACTTCTAATTCCCATCACCATCATCAACCAGGAGCTTTCTACATGCACACCTCAAAGTAAGTGTACTTTACTGCATTTGTTTTTACTTTGTATGTATTTTTCTGTGAGCTGGAACCAATTACCCAATATCCCATTGAAACAATGGTTTCGGTTAACGAACAACCTTCTGGAACGAATTGTGTTCGTTAACCTGTAAGAGTGCACAACACAAGCTGCCACCCTTTAAGGGCTTGGCACTCTTACAACAACTTACGTTGATACTCTGACCTGGTAGCGTGATGTGAGAGGAAGGCCCATGGGTACATGTAATTATAGTATCGAGTATTAGGGAAAGAACAACGGTGAATACTATAGGTGAATCATAGACCCACATACAAATACATTGCTCATTAAACACAAAAATGGTTACAGAAAAGACGTTATATGCATCCAAAAAGGAACTCCTGGTACCATGCCCTCAGGCTCAATTTACTTGCACCACTACCGAGTGTACACACACCATAACACACATAAACTCTTACAGCACCGTAGCACATTAAAACCAGTGGCACTTGCCAGTACAACACTCCATACCCCAGGGGCAATACTCCAGCGGCCGCCATGGGAGTCTCATCACCAAGTGACACCTTCCAACAAACTCCGATAATTCCGGTGGAATAACACCACCACACCAACAGCCCCACCGAGTCATGTACTGTACTCATCCACCAATGATGGGGCTGGCAGTTGTTTGTGGGGCTTGACGATCCGGGTTCACCACGTGGGCATAGCGTTAGGGGAATACTGGCCAGCTATGGGGCCCATAGGTGGTAGTGGAGCTTCTGACGGGCGAGGTTCATGGGGATAACCGATTCTACTGGACCTCAGACATCTCCCCAGACTAGTGGATGCGTCATCCACGCTACGGACACGGCCTATGCTGAAATAGGGACCTGTGGGTGAGGAGCGAGACGGCTTTCTGGTTTGAAAAACGAACCGCCGCCTTCCACCCATGCTAAAGTCACGGATTCCACCTACTTAACCATTTTACTGAATTACGTTGCTGTACACCCTGACGTTTGAAACTGAGACTACGAACTTGGTTTCATTCCCTACTATTATCTTTACAAACAATGCTCTGACTGAGCTATCAAAAGCAAGAATTAAATTGATCACAAAAGGTTGGATGGCAATCCCGTCCCAACACGCAGCGCCTTGCCACAAACCCGAGGAGCAGATTTAAAAGTTCCCTTCAGGAATATTAACTAATTCCTTAGTTAACCTCCCTACCACAATTTCACTATGATTATCAGTCTCTGATATTTATAGGTGAAAAAAAGGTTTACAGGGTCTCGGTAGCAGAAAGAGTTTACAACTTCGGTCAACAAACACACGACAACTCGATGACGTCATCAAAGAAACAGAGAACGGAGGACATTTCCACTGGGAGACTCAGAAGGTTTTGTGGACGTGTAAGCGTAATATGAATCATTAGGTTTCAACAGGCTAGCCGTCATTACGATCATGACAAACCGAGGGACCACTGTACAGTACAGGGGATCCCCGACTTACAAAGGATTGACTTACGATTGCCTCTGATAAGAACGAGGTCCAATATGGTTAATCATTTAAAGAATCCGACATACTGTAAGTACAACTGGTTCTTAGTTTTTACGTACGAGTACTAGTTTGCTTGGCATAGACGGGAGGCGGTGCATGGGGAGTGATAAGTCGCACCCAGCCACTCTCCTTGAGGGAGCTTCAGTACTCTTTACCCTCACTGCCTTATGTGCATGATCAAGCGCAAACTGTTGTTTTTTGCTTATTAACTCATTTTTTGGCCCTCATCATGGCTCATACCTGATGCAAGGGATAGTAGTGCATCCAAGAAAAGGAAAACAATTACAATGGAAGTGAAAGTTATTAAACGTTCTGAAAAAGGTGAAACACACTCAGTGATTGGTAAAGCATTGAGTTTCAGTCGGTCAACAATCGGAACAATTTTGAAAGACAGACAATTCTTGAACATGTTGAAGAATCTACACCATGCACTCAACTGTGATAAAAAACCCAAAGAAGTGGATTATTAATTGAAATGGAAAGATTGTATGTGTTATGGGTGGAAGATCAAAATCAACAGCATCTGCCTCTCAGTCTAGCCTTGATGCAGGAAAAAGTGAGAAGCTTGCACACTGACTTGAAGGCTAAACATGGTAGTGAAAGTGATGGGGAAGATTTGTTGCTAGTAGGGGCTGGTTTAACTGGTTCAAAGCAAGGGCAAACTTACATAACATTAAAGAGCAAGGTGAAGCAGCTAGTGCAGATGAAGTTGCAGCAAGTGAATTTCCTGCTGCTTTAGCTAAAATAATTGAAGAAGGGGGTTATTGTGCTGAACTAGTCTTTAATATTGATGAGACTGGTTTATTTTGGAAATGTGTGCCCAAACACATGTACCTTTCAAAACATGAAAAAATAGCACCAGGGCATAAAGCTGCCAAGGAGAAGCTGACCCTACTGCTGAGGACTACAAAGTAAAACCTTTGATAGTCTACCAGTCAGAAAATCCTAGAGCTTTGAAGGCAGCACTTAGAGTTATCTGGAAATCTAATAAGAAGGCTTGGGTGACATTGACCCTTTTTGGAGACTGGTACCTTAATTATTTTTTGTTTGAAGTGTTGTGATACTGTATTTCAAAGTCAATGCCTTTTAAAATTCTGTTGGTTCTTGACATTGCACCTGGCCATCCTGCATTTTTAGATGATGGTTCATCCAAACATTAAGGTTGTGTGTACCTATCTTCAAACATAACATTTGTTTTACAACCGATGGACCTGGGAGTTATTGCTTCATTTGAAGCATATTACCAGAGAAGGACATTTGCTCATGGTATCAGGGCAACAGAACGAAAAGGAATTTTGGAAGTCGTACAACATTTTTAATGCGAAAAACATTGCAGATTCATGGGCTGAGGTAAAAGAAACCAACATGAATGGAGTTTGGAAAAAACTCTGCTCACAGTTTGTCCACGATTTCAGGAGTTTTAAAAATGTTGGGAAAGTGACACAGACCTTGGGAACCAAATCCAACTTGATATTCAAGAGGATGATGTCACACAGTTGCTTGAATCTCATGCTGAAAAATTAAGCAATGAGGACCTGATTGAACTGGAGAAGTACATTTTGTCAGAGGATGTAGAGAAAGTTGAAACTCCAGAACCAAAGAGATTCATTACAAAAGACATGGCAG